CATAATATTCCCTGTGACCAAGGAGGTTGAACAACCTCCTTGCTGTGACTAAACACGACCAGTCTAAGATGTAATTTCCAAGAAGCTGTTTCCAGTTTTCCTGCGAGGTTTCATATTACACGATACACCATGTTTGTCGAAAACTTGGATAACTACAGAAAATACATATTTTTTTTACACTTTCTAAGTTCAAGGACGTGGAATATATCAAATAGTTTTATTCCATTGATTATACCTATTGATAATTTAATCAATATTTGATTGGTTGAGACTATCCCACGTGTCATTGAACAAATCTCCATATTCCATTCTGAGGATCATATTCCCCTCTGAAATGTCGGGATTACATCGTGCGATATTACGCGCGGCTAATGTACATAACGTTTTGAAATTCTTATTCTTTTTAAAATAGCGATAGCAAAAATCATTATCATGTTCAAATTTATTTCAGACGATAAAACAAATTTAAAAGACTAATAGTTAAATTTTGCTCCGTACTGTTTATCAATGGGTATGTCGTGTTTAGTTTAACTTATAAAAACAAGCGGATAAGAAAACAAAATATATGCAAAATAATTTTTAATGTATTAATAGTAAACAAAGCATAGGCAGTGGAATAAAACATTCATTTCCCTTTGCCTCGGGAGATATGAAGATTTGCTCACCCTCGAAAAATCATATTTCCCTCGGGCAGAGCCCTCGTGAAATATGAATATTCTTGGGTGAACAAATCTTCATATCTCCCTCAGGCATGGGAAATAAATGTATAATACCGATCACTTGTGCAATGTAGACGTATTTTAGTTACTAGACCATTATATAAAGACATGTACGAAGAAGAGAAAAATAAATGTGAACATTAGTACATAAGCTTAGAAGAATTCCAAAAGCCAAGGCTAATCAGTCTAATCTAATGATACCGGATCCTCCAAACATTTCGAATCAAATCAGTTTGCTTGTTTAGCGTTGGTATTTAATATGAATAAGAAGATGTGGTATGAGTGCCAATGAGACAACTCTCCATCCAAGTCGCAATGTATAAAAAGTTAACAATTATAGGTCAACGTACGGCCTTCAACACGGAGCCTTGGCTCACAACGAACAGCAAGCTATAAAGGGCCCCAAAATGACGTGTAAAACAATTCAAACAGGAAAACCAACGGTATAATCTATGTAAAAAACGAGAAACGAGAAACACCTATGATCCACACCAACAAACGACAACCACTGAACAACAGGCTCCTGACTTGGGTTTAAACGTTTTAACAGGCGCCAACCTTCACCTGAGACAGTAGTGTAACATTACGACATAAAAAGACACACAATAAAATATCAATTGAAATGGCCTAACTCGATCAAAAAGACATTTCAACAAAAATAAGTAAACATACACTGAACGATAAAGCCAATTTAAGCGTTCTTGGTTATATCATGGCGGTCAGTTTTTTATAGGCGGAGGAAGCTGGTGCACCCAGAGAGAACTACCTACCTTCAGGAAGGAAAACTGGCAAGCCTTAACCAGAAGTTGATTCTTAGTGAGGCATTGACAACTTGCAGTCGTTTTGGTCAGCATTATTTAAACATGTCCTATTCTTTTGGGAATATACTTTTACATGGAACCTAAAAGAAATAAAAATAGATTCGATTGAAAGAGACGCTGGCATTGATTTTTTTCCATGCGTGATAATTTACTCGAGACTTTGTACTTTTAAAGACAAACGCAAGATTTTGCTCCTAATTATCTAAATAATCAGTCACTGACAAATCTCACTTTACTATATTTGACAATTTTAACTTGTGCTTAAAAGTCGAAACTTTATATGCTGTATGCGTCCTGTGGCGGATCCAGGGGAGGATTCCGGGGGTCGGAACCCCCCCTTTTTTTTGACGATCAATGCATTTGAATGGGGACAAATAGTTGGACCCCCCCCCCTTTATCCTGGGTTAGGAACCCCCCTTTTACAAATGGCTGGATCCGCCCCTGGCGTCTGTAATTAATTTAGAGAACTTATCTGCCTGTTAAAATTAAGAACCGCACTACTTTTTTTCTAACACAATAATAGTTAACGCACTCTTCCAGATGAAACTTTAATTGCAGTATTACCAGTAACAGGGGATTCTATCATGATAACCTATAACGATTCATATGTTCCATTCACGGAACACATTATTACATACTTAGTATTCTGTCACACATTGGAAATTTGTCTTATCAATATTTAAACGTTAATGTCACAATAATTTCTTCTAGAGTAATCACAGGTTACTTTGGAAATCATATGATTTACACCATTACAACTTGATGATTGTATTTTCATTTTTAAACTGTAATATTGTTGTTAAAGGAGGTAGCAGTTTGGATTTTAGTTGACGAGAAAATTCGAAGCTAGGTAAAGTTTTTTTCAGTATAACATGTGGTGCTTCTTGAATGACATGATATAAAACAAAGATATAAGTTTTTAAAAAGATACAAAATACATAGGATAACAAGGAACACACAATGGAAAAACACAGGTAACAGTAAAAAACACATGAAATTAAACAACAATTAAATTAAACACATGAAAATAAAAGATGATAAGTGTGAAATAATTTATACTGAAATATGTAATATCATGCCTCGGTTTTAAATTTTAAAACAATACAAAAAAATATCCTTTCTTCATGTCTGAAATTTCATCTCTTATTTCTCATAAATACATTTAATTGCTTAATAATATATAAACATATTAATATTAGACATTTGAATAATTACTTTGACATTAAAGCCCGAAAACTAAGGACAATTAAGTTTACTTTATGATATTTGGGAGAACATGATTTTTTTATTAGTTAATTGTTACTGGCATTGAACTAGCTTTCAGTAACTTCTTGAGTCGGTACTTTGTGTCTTTTGTCTTAATGTTAGTTTTTTGTACATCGTGATTGTCTGATGAGTCAAGTCTTTCCAACTGATGTTTACAGTTTGTTCTTATGTTGTGTTGTTACACCACTGTCTCAGTTTAGAGAGGGTTGAGCCCCGCACACATGTTTAACCTCGCAACATTATATATGTGCATGTCCTGAGTCAAGAACCTGTAATTCGATGATTATCGTTGGATGCTGGCTGTCATATTTGCTTTCGTTTACTGTTTCGTCGTAAATCATTCCTTTTTTTTTTGTTTGAACTGTTTCACATTTTGTCATGTCGGGGCCTTTTATAACTGAGTATACGATATTGGTTTTGCTCATTGTTAATATTATTACTATTTATATCTCTAACAAATGATATTTTAGACTTTTAGTTTTTGATTGTTCCCTTGGCATCTGTTCCCTCCATTTTGCAACAGAATTTAATTATTAGTCACACATATTAGGTTTCATTATATATATATTATAACGTCTTCATAAAAACATTGGATAACCATTGACAATTGTTAATATAATTATTTTCATTTGAAGAAATAATGATTTATCACTATTTTGAATATTGAATAAATTGCTACAACACAGTTGTCATACATGTACACATAAATATTTTATTACATGGGGACTTATATCATTAGTTATATTATAATTATATATAATGATGTCACTTTCTGAAGAAGTATCACTACCAAATAAGCAGGGAAATTCAACATTACCAGGAAAAAATTAAGAAGAAAAGGCAATCATATTCTAAAGAAGCCTTTACATTTTGTAGTCAAAATGTCATACGATATAATGAGAAATCACTGGAAGTACCAGACAAGTTGGACAGAGGGTTTTACCTGCACCCATGTAAAACTGCAGCCTAGGACAGCAGAATCACCAGTACCATACAGAAACCGTCATAGTTCACCGAAACGAAGATCACAGGTAATTCTCAAAGAAAACAATTTACTAATAACTAAACAATCATTTACACACTCACGGGTCATTAATATCATTGCAACAGTATAAAGAATTATAACTGACATTACAAAATAAAACTAAATGTTTGAAAACAAGTGTTGTCCCACGCATCAAGTAAATCTATAGCAGGATTGTCTTTCCAATGTACTAACAGAAATGGGTAAACATATCATTAACGGTATTCCCACGCATTTCAACATGTATGTGTTATTATTTCAAACACTTATTTCAAACACTTTAACGTAATTGATATTAATTATGCATTTCTAAAAAGTTGCAACACCTTTTTAATGCGTTTCCAGAAAGGGTTAAAAAAAGAGTTAACAGTTTTAACACAATCTTTTACAATGTGGTATTTTGATACCAGTTAACAGTAAATAGGCATTGTCACATAAGTTTTGCTTTCGAGCTCGACATGTTGAACAATTAAATATCGAAATAATACGGAATTTGTCTCTTGTATTCACTGAAATATAAATTTACATTTTTTTTTTATAAAACAGGATGCATATTTCATTGTTTTTTCTGTATTGAAATTTTGCATTGTTTGTTCTGGTCGTGTGTTCCTGTACTTTTTATTACGTTGTTGTGTGAATTCCTCAGTGCTATTGCTGTAATGGGTTTTTATTGAATGCTATTTGTACTATTCGTTTATCTACTGATGGGATTAAAAAGATGATGGTTGAGATCTAAAAAAAAAATATTTTAACAGCGACACATATTAATGCGCCTCTTGAAAGTCAGGAACTTCCACAGTGGTATATTTATGTCATATCGTCGCCTTTTTGTTGATAATTTCGTGTTGACGATATATGATCATATATCCTCGATGGTTTCTGTTCAATCTATTCACAACCTTTTTTTTAAACAAGGGGCGATTTAGAGCTAAACATATCGTATATAGACATCTTTTTATTTAGACAGTATTTGCCCTCTATACATGTATGTCTTTTTGGTTGTTTTTTCGTTAGGTTGCTGTCCCATTAACGTTTACCGGTCCTCCATAACCTTTCATGCATAATTTTGCATGGAATGCCCGTGACATCGTTTAAAACGCGATTAAAATTATTTAAAGTAATGACGTTGTCTTTAGCTATTTTTTTAAATTGCAGTCAAACTCTCCGGAACCAAGAAATAAAAACCAGATCGATAGTCGACCTGTCAGCAGGAAGAGTACAAAGAAAAAACAACCAAATACACCTATACAAATGTTAGATATGAGGAGAGAACAGAGAGCTTGCAGACCCAAACCATGGACAGAAAAGGCACCATTAAAACATACCAATAGAAACAAATACATAGGTACTGATATTATTTGTATGAATATCAAAGATACACGCTATTTACAATGACACATTTATTTAAACCCAAAAGGACGAACTTACATACTTACATTTTTGTCCAAAGCTGCTTATCCACGTTTTTCCTTAGTTTTAGACTTTCTTTTTTTGTTCATCGTATTAATTTCATTGTGGTCATCGTTCCTAATCAAAGAAAAGATAATAGATAGGAGTTAAAATGATCAATCGTGATTATGTATATATAGAGGAGGGGGTGGACAGGGGGTACCCTTCTCCCACTTCCCGCCCCTATCTCCCACCTCCCACTTTTAGAATCTTTTTTTCTCTCCCACCTATTTTTTGTCTCCCACCAATTGGTTGGTCTAAATGATTATTTTCAGTTTTATTCAGATTGAAAAAGTTGTTTAATTTCAAAATGGTCCAAAATATCGATTTGACAGTTATGGCTATTTGCTTCCTCTATTCTTTTTTGTTGCCATCTTTGGGTTTCTTGATTAATAACATGATTTATTACTAAGAAACAATTATAATAATTGAAATATTCGCTTCAATTGCCAGATCGCCACTTTTTAATTTAAAAAAAACTAATATAGCCGGATTCTGATACTTTGAATAATTGTAAATTTAAATGATGAATTCTGAATGAAATGAACTTATTTCAAAATCATTCAGCCGTATTTATTATTCTACTAGTATTACGTGAAAAGTCATTTAATTTAGTCTTCATCAATTATGCAAAAACATTTTTCCTTTATGGAAATTCTAAAATTATAAAAATGTTCCTTTATTTTATACCAGTTTACAGTTTTTGAATAGATTCTATTTTACTTGATAGGCAATTTATTCCTGTCTTTGGTATGGAGAATAGAAATATGGTCACTTTGGTCTTCTTCCAACCTGCAGTAAAACCCTTGTCAAAGTGAGGGCGTCCGTTTGGTTGTGCGGGATATATAAGTACGCAGCCACGCCCGGTCAAATGGGAACGTTAAATCTGATGCCTAGTGTAAAGAGAGTACCACGCTCTCTACACGTTTAGAACCAGTGCAAAAACTCTTTGAGTGGTCCTTTGGTGGCCTGTTGCAAGGCAAAACTTTCTGTCCATATCCACTACTCATTTTCCAGTGTCAGTCCAAATTTCCCAGACCTTCATACCGAACCTACCTATTGTATTTATTGTTAATTTGTTCTCGTCCTGAACATGCATGACATATTTCCCACTGGATGTTTTAATTAGGAAATACTAGTACATTTATTGCATTTAACAACAGAAAGCATCCCTTGTAAATTTAGTAGTTGCAAAACGAGTTCGCCGGCGATTCATTAGCAAAGAAATTGCAACCATCAAATTCATCATTTAGACAGATAACAGTCAATATTCAAGCAAATTGTCGTTCTTGTCACTGTAACAAAATTTATCATAGCTTTCGTTAATTGGAAGAATTATTTGTTCAAAATTTCGCCTGTTTTCACACACTGGCTTATTAATAAGAAGTATGGGGATGTTGTTATGCTCACGTGTATCTTTTATCTTAAATTAACGGTAAAGATCGATATTTGCTCAAATCATCAATTTCAAAGGAAAGTGAAATAAACATTTACTAGTAAATGTATTCTATCTTTAATATGATTATTGCTTTTTCACAAGTAAAGATTTAATATTTTTTTCACTTTTAAGAATAATATTTTCAGAATGGTTGTAATTTAGAAGATTGAATTTCAATATTGCCTTTACTGATCTTTATTGTATGTTACATATACCGTAAAGTATTACAGTTAACAACGTTGACTGAGTCTGACTTTGTCAATTATTTTTTAGAAACATACTATGAAAATTGCTTGCCAGCAGATGTAGACTTAGAAGAACTAAAGCTTCACTCCAGAAAATTTGTCACTAATTCTCGTTATGGAAATATTTACCAAATAAAGTAAGTAACAACTAATTATCTAATTATTTTTTATTTTTTTGCAATTCAATAGTTTATCAGTTGAACACGTATCCTATTCATCAAACGGGATATTATGCAAGTTACAAATGGGTCAGATGAAGAACAGCAATAAAAGTGCTGTTCCTTTGATTTTTGTGGGTTTTTTTTTGCTGTGTGTGTACTGATTTTGTGTCATGGATAGATACCCAATATCCTTTCTTTTCTATTAAGCCAATATATACAGATTACCAAAATGACACAGATTTCAAATATATCATTTAGAGTATTCAAAGTTACTACTCTTCCTAAACGTAGCATAACAAGTTTTAGTATATGGTTCAAAACAGCTCGGTTTAATAATAAAAAAAAAACACCATGTGCTTACAATTAGTCAAATAGAAAAAAAATTCTACGCACCAACTCAAAGTTGCAGTTAAAAATGTGAGTTTCAACTTCAACTTCAATAACAAAGAACAAATAAACCATTATTTTTCGCATCTATTTTTTGTTGTTGCTGAAAGCTGCGAATAAAAATAAAGCCACGTTTTTGTATGATTGGTATGATTGCCAATGAGACAACTATCAACAAGAGACCATATGATGTAGATGTAGGCAACCATAAGGTTATCGTGAGGCCGTCAAAAATTAGCAAATCCATAACGTATAGTAAACTATAAAAGGCCCTGACATGACCAAATGTAAAACAATTAAAACGCGAAAACCAACGACCTGATTTATGTATAAAACAATAAACGAAAACAAATATGAAAGACAGCAACCAACGACAACCACTGAATTACAGGCTCCTGATTGGGACAGGCACATATACAATTTGGCAAGGTTATACATGTTTGTGAGCGAGCAACGTTCCCCTAACCTGGGACAATGGTGTAACAGCACAACATAAGAACAAACTATAAAAATAATTTGAAAAGGGCTTGGCTTAACTCATCAGATCGATACAAAGGAAAAAGTAAAACAACTAAAAAAACACTAGAGACAAAATTTAAAGTACAAATCTGAGAGTACTCTCAGTTACTGGAAGTTAGTTCAAAGCCAATAAGAACAACAGTAATAAAACATCATGTAGCAAAGACTTTTTAAAAAAGTTAGACAGTTTGAAGCATTACATCTCAAGGTTTGCTTAATTGCATCTTTACAACTTCATACACACTGTCATTGGATTTATCGAGACAAGCTGTTTTCCAGTTTTGAGAATTTAGAAATTTTCGATCATTTTAGTTTAAACATATTTTATTTACTCAAAGTAAAATGGATAGGACACAAGTTAATCATACTTACGAAGTCCGCTCAAAATTAAAGTATATGTCAATATTTCGTTACTGAATAATCGACGCTTTGTTTGTCAATATAAAAGACAGTTTTTTTTCAAAATGGAAGCTTTGGAAAAGGGGAGGCAGGTCATAGTTTAGTATGTATGCATTTGTTTGCACCTGTCCTAAGTCAGGAATCTGATGTTCAGTAGTTGTCGTTTGTTGATGTGGTTCATAAGTGTTTCTCGTTTCTCGTTTTTTATATAGATTAGACCGTTGGTTTTCCCGTTTGAATGGTTTTACACTAGTAATTTTTTGGGGCCCTTTATAGCTTACTGTTCGGTGTGAGACTAGGCTCCGTGTTGAAGACCGTACTGTGAACTATAATGGTTTACTTTTATAAATTTTGACTTGGGTGGAGAGTTGTCTCATTGGCACTCATACCACATCTTCTTATATCTATGAACAGAATCATTAAATTTTGTTAATCAAGCTGACCGAATAAACACAATATTTTTACATAAGATGTAAGACATATCTTATTACTAATATTTTTTTCCTTTTTTGCTTCAATATTTAATCTATAGATACGACAAAAAACCGAGAAGCCCACTTGAGAAACCTGAAGAACCCGTGACTTGGCTGTGGGAGGAAGATTACAAAGTTTGGTTACGTGATAATCAACGTTCAGGCAGGTAGGATTAGTTATACTTTAATATTGTCACAACAACATGTTAAACCTAGGAAACAAGAAGAAATAAAAGAGAGAGAGAGAGAGAGGGGGATCTGTTTAATATTTTTGCGAAACGGTCAATGACAGCAAACCTTTTTTTGATACAAGATATTGTTTTAGGTCAACGCCTGTAATGCCTACATATAAGTCTTCGTCTATGACACCAAGGGGAATAAAGGTTGGTCAGTACACAACCAGATCTGAAGGCGGATACCTTTCTATTATTACAAAGCCTTCGAAACCAGATTCAACAAGATTTACTCCACGAATGGGCCAGAGTATTACAGACAAGCCTAATGCAGAATTATTCGCGTAAGTTTAATTTTGTACTTTTCATCATAACATGAAAAAAAAACCTCTAATTTTGCAAACTTCTTTGTATGTTAACTAAACATTTAGTTGATATAAGTATTTTAAGGCATAATTGCAGTCATTTACGTAATTTTTCACATATTCACTTTAAAAAAATCATTTGAATTTTACTTTCCGACACTGTACGTTGTCATCATGCATACACTGACTTGTGTTAGAGCATCTAAATGTAATTTCAGGCATTGTAATGCATATCGCCTAAACAAACAGGAAAGACGGAAGGCTGCCATTAAGATTCAAACACGGTTCCGAGGATACAGAGTTAGAGCACATTTGGATAAATTAAAACGAAAGGTACTTAGAATTTTTTACCTGTACGAGAAAAACACCGGTTGGAAGGTATATTATACCTACAGATAGTTTAATTATATATCACGGTAATACATGCATATGTCGACAATACACACTTTCAACAAGGCAAAGGGGAAAGGTTTATTTGTTAGTTGAAATTGTATTTTGAACTAGATTTTATTAACTGCGAGTATTCTTAAATCGGGGCTTTGTGTCTTTTACTTATTGTTAATATAAAAATAAGAAGATATGGTATGGTTGTCAATGAGACAAATTTCCACCTAATGACGTAGAAGGTTAGCAACTATATATCACTGTACGCTTTCAACAATGAGTAAAACCCATACTACATAGCAAGCTATAAAAGGCCCCTAAATGCCAAAATGAAAAACAATTCTAACGAGAAAACCAACGGCCTGATTTATGTACAAAACAATAAACGGAAAACAAATGTGATAAACAGCAACAAACGACAACAGATAGGCTCCTGACTTAGGACAGACACATACAGGATGTTAATTTGTTTTTCTTGTGATTAGTACCGATCTGATGAGTCCAACACTTTTAATTGATTTTTACAGTTTGTTCCTTGTGTTGTTACATTACTGATCTAGGTTACGTGGAAGCTTTGTGCACTTACAGACATGTTTAAATGCGCCACATTATTTATGTACCTGTCCGTCTACCATAAAAAAATAATTTTGTTCTTTGATTTTTTGCAATCATACCACATCTCCTTTTAATATTCCCATACATTGCCGATACTTAGACGGAGTATCTAGATTAGCAAAAGTAGATTAATACATTTGAACTTAAGGTTGGGTAAAAATTTAATTTTCGATCGAAAATACGTGTTCAAAACATAAACTAGCTTCAAAATATCTTTTAACATCTAAATAAACCCATCCATGTTTCAAAAAGCTTAGGTCTCCCTTTCATCCCCCAAATGAACCAAAAACATTATTATTGTATGCGTCGGCAAAAACAGAAAGGTATTTGAAATACATATTTTAAGATAACAATTCAATTTATTAAAAACAAAATCAATGTTATTGAGTAGAATTTTTGCTGCTTATATAACACAAAATCGATCATTTCCTGTATGAAACTACTAGTTAATTCTTATAAAAAATTTATTCCATTACACCATAATGACAAAATGTATTTTTTTGTCACATCTTTTGATACAGCTTGAGCTTCTTGACTCTTTGTCAGAATATATTTAAATATTTCGAAACTTTTGAGTGGACTAAAAAAGAGAGGCGAAAGATACCAAAGGGACATTCAAACTTATAAGTCGAAAATAAACTGACAACGCCATGGCTAAAACAGAAAAAGACCAACAAAAACCAACAATACACAAAACACAACATAGAAAACTAAAGACTGAACAACACGAACCCCACAAAAAACTGGAGGTGATCTCAGGTGCTCCGGAAGGGTAAGCACTGCAGATCCTGCTCCACGTGTGGCACCCGTCGTGTTGCTCATGTTAGTACAAACCCGGTATAAGTCTTATTCGGTAGGTCACATTCGGGGGAAAACACACACAGATTTAGAATTAAAAAAAAACACTCTGTAAGATAATGTTATCCCTATTTCTCAATATCTCAACAGGTTGTTCTTGACCATGGAAAATCCTGGAAGAATTTTATCAAAGAGTACAAAGAACTGGTAGCAAGAATACAATCACGTTATGGATTAATGAATCATTCTTGTCCAATTGTACTGAGAGAGATTGACGAGTTCATGGATACAAAGTATAGTATGTGTATATCTTGTACTTAAAAATACATGGCAATAATGATACAATTTAACCTTACCTCAACTAAACTAATTTTGAGTATTCTAGAAAATGCAAAACCTTGAATAAGTTGTCAATTTAGGTCTGTCCCATGCAACTAAATAGGAGAGATTACTTCAGTTTTTAATACTTTATAAATGCATAAACATTGAAGTTTTAATAGATACTCAGCTTACCAAGAACTTTATTAGTTAAACATTTTCACGACTTAAATTTCTATTAGACAAACACTCTTATCTATCCAATATTATCTTTAAATTTTGTACCAACAACAAAACTGTCAACGACATCTTCGTCTTCTTCTTGTAAAGTCGTTCAGTGAGAAATAACTGATATTACTAATTAGAAACAAAACCACTTGAACTCAGTTTTAATTCAATACAATTCTATGTTTGATTTACTCTTATTTTATTAATGTATAGAATATGAAAGAGAATTTGACAAGACTTCAGAAAAAGGAAAATTATTCAAAGAGGACTTGTCGCTGTTTTTGAAAAACTGTGATCTTCATCCGACAGATAAGGATATATCAACTGCATTCAACAAAATATACAGAGGTAAGTTATACAGAAAGTAGCTGTGAGGTAGACCTCTAGACAGCATTTTTTTCTTTTAATATACACGTATTTATAAATTCGAAATTGTTTAAAGTTCTTGCCGATTTTATGTGATTTCTAGACAACTGTTCACCTAGTTTGAAAGAATTCAATCGGTAACCCCCCCCCCCCCCCCCAAAAAAAAAGAATAAATGCATAATTTTTTTTCTCAGTTTTCAAAGTTCTATCAACAAGCCAAAGCTGTATGCAATTTTTTTTCAAAATCTGTGGCATAGCCTGTTTACTGTACCTTGACCACCCTCAGTGTTAGAAATTATTTGTGAACCATACTCCCTCTACTATCAAAGTACTATCCTGTAGTTTATTTTATATGTATGTTCCGTGTCGTTCTTTTAGTTTTTTGTTGTTTTGGATATGTTTAATACAAGGGAATGTATACGTGATTTCCTATTTTTATCTTTTTTATACATGTTCTATATTTATTAAAATTGAATACATTTTAGGTTCTGGAAACACTGCTGAGGTGGTTCTTGTACTAGATTGTTCAACTAGTATTGGACCACTTGGGTTCCGTCGCCTGATACAGTTTGTAAAGGATTTAGTTTGTATGTATGATATAACTCCAGACCGAGTTAGAATTGGTGTTCTTCCTTTTAATGAAGATATATTCCAGTCTTTCAGTATATCAACGCATAGAACCCGACATGACATTCTAAATGCAATAGGTATTTTTCATTTCATAAATTTTTTACTGTAGTTGAACTTCACATATTTTTATTTTCCAATTGTTAAGTAATCGTGTGGTATCGAATTCAGTTCAAGTTTGAGACAATAAGCCATCAATGTTTAAAAGGACTATAAAAACAAAAGGGACAAAAACAAAATCACCAAATTCTTCTAAGAATTGATGATATTGAAACATTGAAAGGAACTACATGTAAATTTATAGAATTAAAGGTAAATATATGTTCTTCTGTCTGTTTTTAATTCCTTCACCTACCCATTTAAGCAGCAGTTGGTTTGGATAAATTGTGAAGCATGCTTAATTTTAATTTTCAAATTTATTTGAATGCAAGTGCTTAAAAACTCCACTGTTTTGACAAAGGAATATCATATGTTTTCTACTTATTTCAGATGCAATTCGATTGAAACATGGACTAACACGAACCCACCTGGCTATTAAAGAAATGACAAATATGCTTTCGGTAAATGGAGTATATCTATTTCAATAAATATGACGCTATTGTGTATAAAGATATAATAATACGAGATACATAAAATGAAGTTACATACCGAGAAATTACAATGTTATTTTTTCTGTTTAGGAACGGTTTTTTTTACTCCTTGATCAATCAATTTTAGAGGTCTCTTATTCAAATTTACCACATCCATGATGTTGAATTCAACTTATCTTTATGATAATTATATCGACAAAATACTAAGCAATTTTGGCAGTTTTTGTAGTTTTAAATTATAATATTTTCACACGCCAAAAACATAAATGTTAGAGCTATCTTTTTTAAAATGGTTTTATAACATGTTATAAATGCAATATTTCTCTCCTGGATTTCTCAATGGTTACCTTGTATTAATGAGATCAACAACAAAAATTCCTAAGAAACAACATAATGAGAATCTTTTAGACTTTTGGTTTTATATTGCCTTTTGGTACCTTCTCCTCATTTTTAAAATGAATTGCTTTAGAATTGCAATTAAAGAACCAAAACATGTGTGACCAGACTGACATAGTTCACAGAGCTAATACAGTTTGAATAATTTATTATGTAGAATGCTAGACCAGGTATCAAGAAGATAGGTATTGTTATAACCGATGGAAAATCGTCTGAGCCAGGCTGTACGGAGTTGGAAGCAAAACGAGCTAATGCTGATGGCATAGAAGTTTATGCAATAGGTTTGTAGTGAATAAAAAATCTCTCTGACAGAGAGCAGTACAGAAATAACATTGCACATGTTGGGAGCAAAAAAATGAAAAACAAACTTTGAGTAGGAAATAAACTTAATTAAAAAATGAAGGTGTGGTATGAGCCAGGATACTTGTCAAGCTCCGATTCACAACTGCTTCAAAATGTAAAACAACACATTTATTGAGTCGATGTCTTTGGCCTATCCGATTTCTATTAGAGAGGAAAGGATGTGAGCTAGGCGAACATGAAATAAAAATAAACCATGATGAAATACTAAGAAATAATCAATATATCTAAGAAAGAGCACTTTTATGTCCAATCTTTGTTGTTTGAAGACATTCAATGATGATCACTGAATGCCCTTACATACATGTAAAACAGTAAGATCACGAAAAGTCCTAGCGCTAGCTCATAGCCCTAACTCCTAGAGCTGCATTTTGAGATTTTGAATATCGCTGTTAACAGACAACAGTAGTTTACTACTTTTCAAATCTCGTAAATCAATTAAGAATAATCAAAATCGAGAAAAATAACAAAAAAACTAAGAAAAACGCATTAACTCCAAACGAAGCCAGACCGGGTGCGTCGACAGGGTGTGCGTCGGTATGCATGCATCACATGTCATGCGAATCATCACTCAGTCAAAATGTCACAAAAGGGAAAGGACACAGTCGGTTAATGTACAGATTAGATGAATTTTCTAGTAGCTAAAGATCTAAGATTGTTAAACAAATGTCTTTTGTGAGCTAAGTCGATTTCAGGCAGATTACTCTTCGTGACTTTGGTGGAGCAGTTTTTCCGTTATTCAGGCGTCCCGAACTTGACACCAGATGGACACACGGTAAAGGAAATGTTCAAATTCGGATGTGATCGTAAAAACATCGGGCTATTCGTGAGGGCATCTTAAGCCATCGTATGACCGCCGATTGAGGTTTCAGGCTCTAGCAGCAAGTTCGTGAGCTGTGGCAAAACCTTTGGCATGCCAAAATATTTCCGAAAGACCTTGCGAAGGTTCATTTTCGTGTTGAACTCGTATGTCCATTTTGCTCTCCGTAAGACCATCGTTAGGGCATCCTGTAAAATCGTGTCATCTTCGTCTTTACGTCGTGTGATTATCGGTGCCGTCGGGCATTTTCACCTCACGAAGACAGTACGAAGGAAACAAGAAGCTGTCCGATTGTTTAAGGAAGGTCACACGACTACGTGAAGCCATCGCAATGCCGTCGTGTAGCCATCGTATTATAGTACGATGACATCAAGATGGGACCACGGTGTCCGCAAAGACAGCCGAATTTGAGTAGCTCAAGCGTTTTACATGTTTCATGACAACATGGACATATAAAAGGCCAGCCTCACAGCATCTTTCTCAGACAGTCCTGAGCAACTCTACAGAACAGAGGCGTGTGTAACTCCGAGAGCTTCAATCGCAATTATTCACAATTCAGTGCCTGCAGAATGGCATACTTTGATGATGAGACAAACAGGAAAAAAAGGCAGCATATCTTTGTCACATCTTGCTATGTGCTTTTCTAATATTCGACAATATCAATTTAATTTTCCAGTGCAGGGACAACCTGAGGCGAAGGAGGAAACCGAGTTTTATGTGGGTCAGAAAATGGCTGTCTGACAAAAGAAGAGAACGCTATGAACGCTCTCTACTAAAGGAGCTGAAGACAGAAGATGAGAAAGCCTTCTACAACTACACAATACTTCCCAGGGGTGTCTTCGATGACGTCCTGCGAAGGGTAAAGGCAGAATAGAGAAGAACACATGGTACAGACAGTCTCTCTCTCCTCGTCTCAAGCTGTCCAACAATCTACCACACACCTGGCCTGCGGTTACAATTATCCAAACCTGTCCTTCAACTTCAGAGTTGCTCCAAACACCATATCCTTTATCATCAATGATGTCGGCGATGCCATCAAAGCCGAGTTTGCTGTTTCGGTCACCTGTCCTTTGAATATTGGCTCTGTGTACAAAAACTAAAAGGGCTTCTTCTCCATTGTTCGCATGGCCCTGGTCGACGCAGACTACAAGTTTCTCTGGATTAATGTCGGCTCTGATGGTTCCAGTAACGATGACAGTATCTGCAATGGGTAAAACTGAAAGAAGGCCTGGAAAGTCCGAACAACGTATCCATTCTCCCCGAAGAGAAGTCTCTACCTGGTGAAGACGTTCCTCCCCCACACTACATAGTAGGGAAGAATGCTTTTGGGATCAACAAGCGCCTGATGAACCCGTTTTCCATTAAAAAAAAGAAGCACAATGAAAAAATATATAGCTATAGACTATCCAGAGCCAGGCGTGTAGTGGAGAATGCCTTTGGTATTCTGGCACACAAGTTTCGAGTTTTGCTGAGGACCATGAACCAGAAGCCAGAGACATACAAAAAAATCATCACAACTTGTGTGATCCATCACAATCTCATCAGACTGAGATATCCAGCCACCGACACAAACCTGATGGACTTGGAGGACCAGAACCAGAATGTCATCACAGGGGCATGGAGAAATAACAAAGTACTTTTGGATGTTGAACACGAGAGGGCAAGGGACACTGGAAGCCAGGATGGGATGCAAATTAGAATATACCCGGTCACTACTTTACCTTAAAGGCTTGTTCGGTGCCATGGCAAGACAGGATGATCCAGTAATTATTCCCACAATGCAGTGACAGTAAAATCAATACATAGACACTAACACTGTCAAAAATCAATACATAGACACTAACACTGTCACAGTGATGATGAGCAAATTATTTTCACATATTGCATTGTAACTTAAAGGAAAATATGTATGGAGTAATAAATTTTTATTGAACTTGTGAAGTAAGGATAAATGACCAAAAAATAGGTAATTAAATTACACGGCCGGCAGAAGGTTATATACCATCGGGAGGTCTCGTGACGCCTTCGTGACCAAGTTCGAACGCATCGTACTCTCAAAACGACATCGTTCAGTCAACGTGTTGCCTTCGAGTTTCTTGCGTTTAAACATCGTAATAAAAACAATCACATATTTGTGTTGCCTTCGTGTGTGGTTCGGGTGCCATCGTGATACCTTATGTAGGCATTGTACTTGCTTCGGCTAATGATTGGCTGTTGAACAAGTTCGGGACCATCTTCGCACGAAATTCAAAATTCCATATTCGTATGGCCATCTGGTGTCAATTTCGGGACAGTGTGACGCCTGCATTTGGAGGATACATTTGTTGATAAAGTCCATATAATGTAAACATGAACTTGCGTATCAATCGAGATGATCTGCCATGATAACCGCTTACCATGAGTCAGTGTAAACGTTATCACTGAAAAATGGAAAGATGACAAATGGAAAGCATTTAACTTATATAACATTACCAACTCCATTTTGCTACTTCGTAAAAAACATACAATTTCTATCATATAACACCCGACAATTACAAACAAACAGACAATCACAGGTCTGAGGATAAATAACAGATACAAAACATTAATTAACTCACAACAATCAGGAGCATACAACTCAAACCTATGTTTTGTATTGAAGACACACTCTGGTCTTAAACTGTACAAGAAATGATATAATAGTACTTACACAACACTTTAAAAATGTTATGTTTGAATTTTAAATTTCGTTTCTTGTTGGTATCTTCTCTTTTAATAAGTTCTTTTGATATTCAGACTTCGTAATGTTGTGTTTTAAGGATAAATTGACGATATTAAAATGTCGTCAAAATTATTTTATATATTACAGGAAATATAATTATTTTTTTATAAAATTCAGAAAGTATTGCTTGCTTCTAAATCAATTGATACATTTCAATTACTATAATTACTAATTTTGCAGGCGTTGGTGAAAGTGTGGATAAGATAGAACTGTTGACTATTGCCTCGACTGATAAAACTATGTACACAGTGGACAGCTATAACGACCTTTTAGATCTTACTCAAGTTATTGCTAAAGTAACTCATCCAGGTAAACACATATATTAGAAAGCTTCATATACTTTACAGGCGCGTAACTTTTCAGATTGTGTTGATTAACTCACTCAGTTAAGCAACTGCAGGATGTTTTAGATTTCTATGCAATTTTCAATTGAGAACTATTAATGTGGTATACCAATATTTAGGAATAACAGTTCATTGAAATACTGCATATTAAATTAAATGCGCAATATCGAATTTGATGTGACAGTTTGACTAAGATTTTCCTTTAGATTAAATGCATACAACTCAGCGGAAACTCGCCAGTCTCAGTTAGTAAGACTCTTACCAAGATTGCTGTCAGACCCATGGCCCTTGCAAATAAAAAAAGGCCGTCAGACGTCAGAGCAATCTTGGACCTAATTTTTCTATGTCATCTAAATGATTATTTGAGGTAACGTCACCAAATAAAACTCGTGAATAAGTATAGAATTGTTTATAAACATGTTCACTTTTCTCCAAAATAACAACACCAGCAAAAATTGAAACTTTTGGATTTTGGGTTTGATGGGAAGCTTATTTTCAACTTGTCGGTGTCTGGTACATTTCCCACCTTTTCTTTTACTGTTTTACCGTAAATCATCTATTTTCACCTATGTTATAACTACCCTTACATTGTTAAAGAAGAATGTAAGTAAGTCCCTGTTATCGTTTATCTTTTAATTTGATTATATATAGAAGAACGAATGTTAAAGTATACATGCATAAACAACTTAGATAAAGCTGATTAGCTATAATTTATCTATGTACTTGTTCTTCTGTTAGAGAAAACAACGAGTAAAATAAGCTGTTGGGACAATGGGAAATGTCGTCCTCTAACAAAGATAGAAAGTATGGAAATATTATGGACATTGTATCCACCTCCAGCTGCTAATCTGTCGCATGTCCGGAAGTCCAGATGGATCAGACCAATAATACAGGGAACTGAAGCATGGTCCCTTTTGGGTAAACCGTTTTATTTGTTGATATTTTTTTCGTTAGATGACCCATTATCTCTGTGATATCATCGATTGAAAATGTGCATATCTTAACAGGAAGAATATGTCATCCATTCTTAAATATGTTTTAGCTGGGTCAAAAGACACTGAACTAAAATCATCTTGTAAAATAGACTTTTATTAAAGGTAAAGAAATAATTTATTTAAATTAAATGGTTTCATTGTGGGTTTAAAAAAATAAAGGTTAAATGCAGTTGGGTTCTTTTGTTTCTCTCAAGTGTGAATATTGACATATTGAATAAAAAGGAGAGCCTTAAACGCCCCAGATACAGCATAGGCAGTATATTTTATTCGTCTTGTTATTCAAACTCAAAATGTTTTCTTTTTTTTCTTTTCAAAATGTGCATTTTCATTTGAAATTGAGAATCCTTTTTAGCAAGTAACTTAACTTGATACACTAATTTTCAAATAAATATGTATACTGTAACCATGACTTACACACTAAAGAATTAAATTAAATTTCAGACGAGAACACAAAATCGTCTACTGACATCAGAGCATGTCTTCGAGTTGTTGTTCAGGCAAGAATAAACAAAAATGGCAATGTCATGCTCCCCTCGAAGAACAAAACTGGAGTCGAGTATATCACCGATGTAGATGAAGCTGTCACCTATATAGAAGAATGGATGAAATGGCAACGGGAAAATGATAAAGAATCAGATTTTCAGTTTGGTTTGAAAAATAAAGATTACGATTAATATTTTGTAGCCATTGTACGTGAATTTAATGTAAATATGAAGTCTCGCTGACGGCATAGGAATAGTCTTATACAGGTTATACATGTAGGTGAAGGACCAGTGACAAGTCTACGATAAAATGTGGAGAAAAACTTGGGAAGTGTGAAGTTTTATGATTGGATGGTAGACACGCTGTAATCAGGAAAAAAAAGACTGAACTGTTTTATTTTATATTACCATTTTCACTTTAAATTTTTAACATTTGGTCTGAGGCTCGATATTTAATTAGCGGTTGAACAGAATGTTGTCAGACAAACAATATTGGCTTTATTACAGAATTCCTCGTTTATGTTTTTATCCGAGGTCTTTCATTTGCAAAAAAATATGAAATCTGAAATTGTGACCATGGCCGATATATGTATATCTGTGACTTGCATTCTGAAATAACATTAAGAAAGTTTTGATATGATAATTTGCAGAGAACTCGGTCTGTAAGATAATATAAATGTATATAATAATAAACTTAAAGAAAATCAATTACATATTTCATTTTTAGCTCACTTGGCTCTACTTGACCAAATTTAATCAAACTTGGGGTATCTAGTTTTAAAAAAGTGTCCGATGACCCCGCCTGCCAACCAAGATAGCCGACATGGCTAAAAATAGAACATAGGGGTAAAATGTAAGTTTTGTCTATTATTTTGAAACCGTTATAAATAGAGAAAATCTGACAGGGGCAGAATGTTCAGAATGTTGAGCTCTGCTAATTGTCCCTTATGTCAAAACTGTCAGTCGACTTCTTATAGGAGTTATTGCCCTTAAAAAACAAATTTACTACTATTTTTTTTTTCATTTTTGTCTATTATAATAGATAAAGAGAAACTTTAAGTTGCAAAAATGATCAGCAAGACAAGATCTACAAATAATAAATGTGTCATTTTGTTTATTTTCTTTTGTTTCCTATTCTGACATCGGACTCGGACTTCTCTTAAACTGAGTTTTACTGTGCGTACTGTTGTACGTTTGTTTTTTCTACATTGGCTAGAGGTATAGGGGGAGGGTTGAGATCTCAAAAAACATGTTTAACCCCGCCGCATTGTTGCGCCTGTCCCAAGTCAGGAGCCTCTGGCCTTTGTTAGTCTTGTATCATTTTTAATTTTAGTTTCTTGTGTATAATTTGGAGTTTAGTATGACGTCCATTATCACTGAACTAGTATACATATTTGTTTAGGGGCCAGCTGAAGGACGCCTCCGGGTGCGGGAGTTTCTCGCTGCATTGAAGACCCATTGGTGGCCTTCGGCTGTTGTCTGCTCTATGGTCGGGTTGTTGTCTCTTTGACACATTCCCCATTTCCATTCTCAATTTTATGATCGAAATCATCAGTCTATTCCTTATTAGATTTGTTGCCCTTTAATGACGATTTTTACCTATTTTTTGCGGTTTTGCCTTATATCTTAAAAAAATTAGAATTGATAGATAGAAACTTAAATAAGCAAAAATGATCAGCAAGACAAGATCTACTATTAAGACAATATGGCAGAAATTGCCCGACGACTCTTCATAGGAATAATTGCCTTTAAATGAGGATTTGTTCACCCTCTTTTGTGTTTTTGAGCAAAATCTAAAGAGAATAGAGAGAAACCAAACAGACAAAAAAACACCTTTACAGAAAAAATGAAAGACCATTAAGAATATTAATTGATGAGTATTTTTCGAGTAAAGAAAATTTAGGAAATATAAAGATAAAGCATTTTGGTTTTCACGATATTTTTTTGTGTAATTCAAGCAGTTTGAAGGCCTAAACCTAAATGGCAAGAAAAAAATCAGTATTCTATTACTCAGTGCTAACCCACAGACTAGTGCCTTGTCAAATATTGATACATTGTATGTAAAACAATACAATGATTATTTGCATGTACAATAACACTATCCGAAACTTTACTGCTCCCGATGCGCATTTCTATAAGTAATGCCTCTTCTGTCATTCTTGAGGCCAAAATGTTTGAAAATAAAAAGCGTAATACAAACGTTGAAAAGCGGATATAGTCTGGGATCCTGACACAATATTCTCAATACCGTAAGCGGACTTCCGGTTCGAATATAGTTATATTTGAATTGAAGCTTGCAAAATCGAAAATATTTCATCAGGATTCCAGGTTAAAGCAGATATAACTGAAAAGGACCAAACATATAGTCAAACTTGGAAAAGGAATAACGTGTTTGCATGAGGGAGATATACATGCATGCCTTAGTTTCAAATGACGTCTTAACTTTAATAACAGCAAATTTCAATAAAACAATACCTGCATTTTCATGCCGGTACCAAAGTACTAAGCTACTGTGCTGTTGATACCCTCGGAGAATAACAGTTTACCAGTAGAAGTATCGATCAAGTGGTAGTGCTAACATTAAACGGTACTACATATGTAATGTCACTACAATAGATAATCATTTTGACAAATAATGTCTATTCAGTGATGCTCGAGGCCAACACATGACTGTTAGGAAAATCAAAACACGAACACAAACGTTGAATAGTAGATATCAACCGAAATGGACCATGGTATAGTCAAACCCAGACCAGATTTCATGTGGCATCAGGTTAACGTCCCTATTCCGACCGTACGCACAAGATTGATTCATTTTTTTATGCAGAATGCCGTCTAATTTGTTATACCAAGGAGCCATAAAAAACAAGTTCCTAGAAACACAGACAGCGGTATTGCTAAAAATAATCAAAGCACGAAAGCGCTGTAAAGGCAGTTAATTACAGGTTGTGTGTATTTTAAGTCCAGTTATATCATTATCTTGCATAGTACAGTGTACTTATCAGAGGTGGCTTTCAGTATTTAAGAATTAGAGTTCTCTAATGATATTGAATAAGTTTTATGAAAGTCATATTCTGAGCACTATATGAAGGCGATTGTTCTCACTTGTTTATGAACTAGTGCATTATGTCCAGTTTGTACCTTTTTTATCTATGTTTATAGTCAAATTAGTTATCAAAGGTACCAGGATTATAATTTAATACGCCAGACGTGTGTTTCGTCTACATAAGACTCATCAGTGACGTTCAGATCAAAATAGTAACAAAGCCAAACAAGTACAAAGTTGAAGAGCATTGAGGACCCAAAATTCCAAAAAGTTGTGCCAAATACGGCTAAGGAAATCTATTCCTTGGATAAGAAAATCCTTAGTTTTTTCATTGGCAATCATAACACATCTCCTTATTTATATAATGATCTATATTCAACGACCTCAGGTACAAAAAAAATGTATGTAACTAAACTATGATGGGAAACCTTTGACTTCTTTCTTTATATAAACTTTTGATTTGGTACCATAGAACTATGTAGAGTAAATGTACATTGCAACATGTCAACTCTTTCAACTCCAAGCAAAATTATATTTCCAAGCATAAAGTAATTTATGAATGAAATAAAATGCTCCGCTGGGGCGCAGCTTGATACGACCGCAGAGGTCGAACCCTGAACAGTTGGGGCAAGTATGAACACAACATTCAAGCTTGATTCAGCACTGAATTTGGATTGTAATTAAATATTTGACACAGCATATATAGGTTTCTGACACAGAATGAAAGTGGTCTAAGATACTTAAAAAAATTTAATTTACCTATTCAAACCATATCATTATTATTTGCTTTTATATATAAATCAGAAATAACCAATTTAAAAATGCTTGTTTTTTGCCCCTTTTTGGCCCCTAATTCCTAAAATTTGGAGGCAATTACCCCCAAAAATCAATCCCAGCATTCCCTTTGTGATATGGAACCTTGTGAGATCCATACACTTACACACAAGTTATGTCTGGAAGTTACAAAAATGCTTATTTTTGGCCCCTAATTCCTTAACTGTTGGTACCATAACCCCCAAAATCAATCCCCACTTTCCTTTTGTGGTATTGAACCTTATTTTAAAATTTCATTGAGATCCATTCACTTAAACTAAAGTTAGAGTGCGAAAACTAATGTGTCTTCGGATGACGACGCCGACGACGACGCCAACGTCATACCAATATACGACCACAAAATTTTTTTGCGGTCGTATAAAAAGGAGTTCTTAATTAAGAAATAAACTGATTCGCTGAGCGCAGCTGGATACACCCGCAGAGGTACTACCCTGAACAGCTGGGGCAAAAATGGACACAATATTCAAGCTTGATACAGGTCTGAATTTGGATTGTAATTAAATATTTGACATATTATAGTTTCTGAATAAATGTAGTCAATGAACTTGAAATCGGTTATATGAATTGAATTTATATTCAATTAAAGATTTCTTGCTGTTGTGCAATACACTGTGCTGTTGTGCAATACTTAATAAATCTGTTGCCAGACTATAAACAAATAAAGTTCAATTTCTTCTCAATGTCATATTTGAAATTTATGAAAATCAATAGGGAGATTACATCAATAGCTATCAATAATTCACCAAAGTTTCATGTGAACTGCTTAAAGCATTTTTGAGTTGTTGTCCAAAAACTGGAAAATCCCCCCTTTTTTAATGAATAAAACCCCATAACTCAGAAATGTAAAATCTAAAATTTATAAAATTCTAAAGGGAGCTTACGGATTGATAATTTAGTCTTAGATGCAAGATTTTTTTATCAGTTGTTAGTGGCTTTGAACTAGCTGTCAGTAACTGCGAGTACTCTCAGATTTGTACTTAGTGTCTTTTTGTTGTTTGGATGTACAACTACCCGACCACGTCCACTTGTATTTGTATTTATCCATCTGATGAGTTTAGCCTCTTTCAACTGATTTTTATAGTTCTTTCTTATATTGTACTGTTACACCACTGTCCCAGGTTAGGGGGAGGGTTGGGATCCCGCTAACATGTTTAAGCCCGCCACATTCTGTATGTACATGTATGTGCCTGTCCCAAGTCAGGAGCCTATAAAAGTGTAATTCAGTGGTTGTCGTTTGTTTATGTGTTGCATATTTGTTATATTTGTTCATTTTTTTACATAAAATAGGCCGTTAGTTTTCTTGTTTGAATTGTTTTACATTGTCATTTCTGGGCCTTTTATAGCTGACTGTGCGGTATGGGCTTTGCTCATTGTTGAAGGCCGTACTGTGACCTATAGCTGTTAATTTCTGTGTCATTTGGTCTCTTGTGCATGTGTGGAGAGTTGTCTCATTGGCAATCATACCACACTTTCTTTTTTATATTTACATCAATTTATTTATTTATTATCAACAGATATAAAAAAATCACCAAAGTCAAGGTGAGACAACAAAACTTATTTGTAAGATCTCTGAAATTTTTTACAGGGTACGAGTTTTTCTCATTGTTGGAGATTGTACGGTGACAGTAACACCTGTAACTGCTTAAACCCATTTCTTATGCACTTTACTTTGATAAACTCACTGAATATCATACCACATCTCCTTATTTTTATATGCATTACAATTTACATGTGCATGTAATTGTAAATATATATATATCAGAACAAAATTCA